CATGAAATAAGATCAGAGAGCTTCAGGACCGGAAAAGCTTTTAAATGCACCATCCAGCAAACTAAAACCACAAGAGGGTAAAAACACACAGGGTCACCTGGAATCTGAGGACACGCTCAAGGACCACAAGCTAAGCAGGTCTGCGCGGCCTTGGTTCTGTCACCTATGTCACACTCCTCACTGTAAGGTTCGATGAGGATGCACAGAAAGCACCTCGCACAGCATTAACCAGAAGGATCAAGTCTGACTCCTGCTATAGTTACATGAGGCTAGAAGAAAGCAGTCGAATCAAAGGGTGATTTTCCCGAGCATTTCCTTGCATAATTGGAAAACACTGACTCAGTTTCACCTACCCAGGACCTCAAAGGCCCCAATGGTCTTCTCGCCGATAAAGGTGTTGTAGCACTCCAGGGCTGCCAGCAGCATGTCCATCCACTGCAGGGTTGCTCGAAGGCTAAAGGGCCTTGGCAGATGGCTGAGGGTGGGCTGAGCAAGGATGCCAGAAGGCTGGTCACAACTACTTCCTCCCCCTTCAAAGTGGTGTACAAGAAAAGAAATGCCTTCTTTCTTGGTAACATCTTTCAACCACACAGAAGGGGATTTGTTACCTTAAAAAAAACAAACACATTTAAGTCACATACAGCAAGCAGCATGTCATCAAAAGAGACATACAAACAGCCAACATACAAACACACAAAAAAGATATTCAATGTCATTAGCCATCAGAGAGGCAAATCAAAACCATGAGATATCATTTCTTTCCCGCTAGGTCAGTGAAGATAGAAAACAAACAGAAAATAAGAAATATTGGATAGGGTCCTGGGAAATGGGAATCCTTTCCCACAGTTGGTAGGAAGGCAAAATGGTCTAGCCATTATGGAAAAGTGTGACAGTTACTAAAAAAAAATAAACATAGAAAAGAAGTATCATATGATCCACAAATCCCACTACTAGGTTTATACTTAAAAGGCTCCACAGTACAGATTCAAACAATATTTGCAGCAATATTCACAACAGCCACAAGATGAAGGAGAATTTAAGCCTTCATACATGCTAAAAGACATTAGACTGAGAAATATAATCTATCCCAAAAGAACAAATATTATATGGCCTACCTCATATAAAAGACAAGAAAAGGTAAATATATAGAGACCCATATTTATTAGTGGATACCAAGAAGTATTTAAACTGTACACCTGTAAAAAGTTAATAAAAGCTATGTGATAGATATAATTAAAACAACAACAAAGAGTAGCACTGAGGCTGTTTATGTACAACCTCTTGGCATTTGGTACGTTGGTTTAGAGCAGTGGTTCTGAACCTTCCTAATGCCACAACCCTTTAATACAGTTCATGTTGTGGTGACCTCCCCAACCATCAAATTATTTTTATTGCTACTTCATAACTGTAATTTTGCTACTGTGATGAATCAGGCGACCTTGTGAAAGGGTCGTTCGACCCCAAAGGGGTCGTGACCCACAGGTTGAGAACCACTGGTTTAGAGGTTTAGGGTCATGGTTTCATGGGACATCTGGGGTAATTGGTTTAATGTGGTGTTTCTGTTTGACTTCCTGGTGACATAGTGGGTTACTCGTTGGGCTGCTAACCACAAGACTAACAGGTCAAATCCACCAGCTGTTCTCAAGAAAGATGTGGCTTTCTACTCCCATAGACAGTTAGTCTTAGAAACCTACAGGGTTGTTCCACCCTCTGCTATGGGATCACTATGAGTTGGAGTTGGAATCAACTCAGTGGCAGTGAGTTTTGTTTTTGTTTGGGTTTGGGTTCTACCTCCTAATTTTTTGCATCCTGTTAGGGTCTCAAAGGCTGACTAACAACCACTGAAGTCACAATTAATGTCTATTTGCCTGGATCAACAGGGAAGGAGAGCCATGGATTGAAGGTGGAGATGAAAGGCATGGTTAATTGCCTACACGAATAACAGCCTCCTTTGCCATGAATTCAAAAGAACTGAATGGTGTCTGGTTACCCTTCCTGAACATTCTGATGAAATGTTCCATAGAAGAATCCTGATGAAAAATGGGAATATGGAGAACAGAATCTCATATTTCCATGAAATCCAAACTTTCTGGAGACCTGGAGACTAGATGAAGCCCCATGGTATTGCCTCGAGAAAAAATCTTTAAGCCCTAAATCAAAAGTATCCACGGAAGTTTTCTTAAAACTAACAGGCAGAAGCTTACTGGTTGAATGGAATCCCTCTGAGCACTTACTGGTAGAGCTAAGAGCTTGGAAACACTTGCCTGAGCAGGGAAGGGTCCAGGTCCACAGACAGAAGACCAAAAAGGAGACTTGCCTCTGGGCACAGCTGAGAGGAGCTTGTTCTTATCAGAGAATTTTATCTAAGCATTTTTGATCCTGAATTATAACCCGTGACTTCCACTAAAAAAAGTCCAACACCGGCGAGTATTGTCTCTGAGTTCTGTACAGCCATGGCAGGGAATGACTGAAACCAGCAGAGTACAGAGGGCAGTGGGAAGACGGTTGGTACAGGAATTGGTAAAAAGTTGGGAGTGTGGAAGCATGTAGGGCACCTCTGTCTCAGAGGCATTAATCATGGGCAGCTTATGCTGATGAACTTTTTTCTTTTTAATTTTGAACTGGGTGAAGATTTACATAGTAATTTACATAGTAAAGCCTTTTTCCATTCAACAATTCATCGACCTTTTGTTTCATGTCACTGATTGCAATCACCCCAAAGTAACATCTCATCCCCTTCCCTCCCTGTATGTCCTAGTTCCATTCTTCCTTCTTTCCTAACCCTTCTGAACTTTGTCCCGGGATAAATGCTGCCCTTCCTTTTGATTTCATAAGGAGTGAAAATCTCCCTAGGGTTACTGCTCCCTTTATAAATCTATTGTTTGGTTAAAAGAGAGGACTCAGTGCCAGATCTGAAGATGATTAAGGGTCACAGTCTCAAGAGCTCCACCAATATATAGGAGCAGTAAGCCTGGCCTTTTTTATAACTCTTTTGTCTCTCATTCTACTCCCACTCTATCCAAGACCTTCTCATGTGATCACTTTCTGAGCAGCTGGTAGGAGAAGTCAGCTCTTCTGGTCTCAGTCACAGAGGCTAATGTTCACATGGTCAGTGCGTCCACTGGACTAATTGTTTCCATGTATCTTCCATTTTCTTCATTCTTCTTTGCTCCAGGCAGAGAGAAATCAACAGTTGTATCTAGAGGGCTACTTAGACCCAAGTCACTACACAACCAAACAGGATGTATGTAGCACATTGTTTTTGTGGACTATGTTATTAATGCGGATTCTCTTGAGCCTCCTCCCTACCTGTGAAGTAATGGAGGTCAGATGCCATCCCAATGTCATTTTCCATTAGTGAGCAAACGGGCAGGAAGTTGCCCTGAGAAAATGTTTTGTATCACCCACTATGCTTGCTCAATCTTCATGGGTGGCAAGGGTTTCCTATGAGCATTTCCTGGGGAAACCTTATCCCATCAGCCCTATCGTCCTCATCTTCCCCTTTCAGACCCTTTTTCAAAAAATTCAAAGAACACTTAAAAGGAACATGCTTTGAATCTCTCAAGGATACCAAAACTGCCATTTGACATCAAAGACCAGGAAAAAGAGCAATGAAAATATTCCCTTCAGAAGTATATACCGCATATACTTGAGTATAAGCCAAGTTTTTCAGCATTTTAATGCCGTCATTGTGGTAAAATTAAGTGCCTTGGCTGATATTTGGGTCGGCTTATACTCGAGTATATACAGTAGAACTAGATGAAGGCTATGTTAAGAAACAATAGCTTCCATCTTGATATTTTTGGTTAATGAAGATTTCAGTTATCTTATAGCAATACTTTTTTATTTGTTGTTATATACAGTATACAAATTGTATGCTAGTTGGCCTGACAGCTGAAGAAAAAAGAGCAACACCTTAATATGTCTCATTGGTTTTGGCACATTCAGCATTGCCTAGGTCTCAAGCAGCAGCTGCCTAGAATTGTCTCATCAAGAGCAGACCAGACACCAATTCCCATTAGAAGTTACCCAAGCGGTATATGTAAGAGCTCTGCCGTATTTCCACTGACCATGGATCCAAGGAGCTCTTCACCCACTGGCCTGTGGCCTTCCTGCAGTCTATGTCATTGCATGTGGCTTCTTCAGTCTGAAGAGGGACTTATGGACTAGTATCGGACTTATGAACTTGAGTTTGACTAGGCTGAGTTGCTTTCTTGATATGTAATTACTCCTTGACACAAAGTTCTTTCTTATACATAGGAGTATCATTATATTTGGTTCTCTAGTCAACCTGACCTCATTCACCATCTCTATAATACTAAGACAATCAAAAACTGTCATTTTATAACGCATAAGGATGGCCATACCTGGCAATAAAGGAACAAATTTATAGAAGAGCTCTATGGACTTGTGCCGACATTCCGCCTGGGGCCTTCCACAGTGGGCCAAGAGCCACCTGACCAGGTCCAGCAGGCACAGTGAAGACTCAGAAGGGAATCCTCTGTGAAGAGATAATGCACTGTAAGGAATGCATTCCCAACAACGAACATTCACTTTACCACAGAAGTCTAGGAATCATAGCATGATAAATGAAAAGGCATTCGGTTTACTTTTAAGGCTTGTCATTAAATTTAATCAAAATATCACAGGTTAAATGGGTCTTAGATGCTGCTTGACCTCATTTATTTCTTTTTAACATGGCAAAAAACTAAGAAATATTTCTTAAAAGCATGTTTCATGTTTCCTTTACAATATACCTTAAAACACAGGGTTCTTACAAACTAGAACCAGACAAAGATGCCTTTTATCACTACTCTTATTCAATACTGTGCTTAAAGTCTTACAGCTATTAGACAACAAAAAGAATTCAGATCCATATAAATTGGCAAAAAGGAAGTAAAACTCTACAAACAGAAAAGCCCAAAGAAAAGAAAACCCCAAAGACTTGACACGAAAATTGTTACAAATAATTGTAAAATTCAGCAGTGCGGCAGAGTATAAGACCAGCTTACAAAACAACTGGATTCAAGTATACTGAGGAAAAGAGTTCTGTAAAAAAAGAAAGAAAAACTATACAATTTACAATAGCTACATAAGTGATGAAATATTTACGAATATATTTAACCAGAGAAGCAAAAGACCTTTACAAAGAAAGCTATAAAACTACTACAAGAAACCAAAAAGGACTTACATAAATGAATGCATGTTCCATCTTCATAGAATGGACAACTTTTTTTTGTAGTTAGTTCAAGGATTGTTGGCTTTTTTTAAAAATCATTTTATTAAGGGCTGATACAACTCTTATCACAATCCATACATACATCAATTGTGTAAAGCACATTTGTACATTCATTGCCCTCATCATTCTCAAAACATTTCCTCTCCACTTAAGCCCCCTGGCATTAGGTCCTCATTTTTCCCCTCCCTCCCCGCTCCCCCCTCCCTCATGGGACCTTGATAATTTATAAATTATTATTTTGTCATATCTTTCCCTGTCCGACGTCTCCCTTCACCCACTTTTCTGTTGTCCGTCCCCCAGGGAGGGGGTCACATATAGTTCCTTATAATAGGTTCCCTCTTTCCAGCCCACTCTCCTTCTACCCTCCCAGTATCGCCACTCACACCACTGGTCCTTCAGGGATCATCCGCCCTGGATTCCCTGTATTTCCAGTTCCTATCTGTACCAGTGTACATCCTCTGGTCTAGCCAGACTTGCAAGGTAGAATTCGGATCATGATAGCGGGGGCGGGGAGGAAGCATTTAGGAACTAGAGGAAAGTTGTATTTTTCATCGTTGCTACATCCCACCCTGACTGGCTCCTCTCCTCCCCGAGACTCCTCTGCAGGGGGATTTCCAGTGGTCTACAAATGGGCTTTGGGTCTCTACTCCGCACTCCCCCGATTGAACAACTTAACATTGTGAACATGTCAATACTACCCAAAGCAATCTATACATATAATCCAAGTCCAGTCCTGACCCCACCATCATTCTTTAAAGAAATATAGACACTAATCGCCAACTGATACGAGCCCTGGTGTCATTGTGGATGACGTGTTCAGATGCTAAAGATAAGATCAGTAGTTCAAAACCACAAACTGCTCCATAGGAGGAAGATGCTTCCTACTCCCTTAAAGAATTATACTCTTAGAAACTCACAGGAGCAGTTCTAAGCTGTCCTACAGGGTCCATACCAGTCAGGATTGACTCTACTACAGTGAAAGTTAAGAGAATCATGAACTCATATGGAAAGGAAAGAAACTCAGTGAAAGGAAAGTACTACTTTCAAAAAACAACAAAGTAGAAGGCTTCTTACCTCCCAAACTCGAAGCACAGCCAGAGTAGTCAAAACAGCCTGGTCCCAGTAGAACAACTAACTGACAATAAATGTAAGCACCAGAACTATAGCGGCCGACGAAACGGACGTCATTGAATTGTTCACAAGAAAAATAATGAACTGGCAAATGTAGTTTTACATATTTTTTAAAACAGTGAAAAATTCCATTTTTGTAAATAAAATATTTTGACAGAAGCGGTACCACCTACCGGGGCAAGCGGCGTCTTTTGGGTTTATTTAAAGACTCGTGTTTCTTTTCGATGATGTGCCTCAGATGATCAATGGCAGCACAGCACTGCTGGACTGTGCCTGTGACCAGCATTCAACAGTTAGTAGTGGCCTACTTTGGAGTACAACAGATAGCTTTCCTAACAACTCACTACATTTCCTCATCTAGAAAATACCACTTAACTAGCTGATTTACACTGCACATCTGAAAACAAAACCTATAGTTAATAAGATTGCAGGACAATATGATGGCAACCCAATATGATATATATGCACACTCACAGTAATACCACATTTGATCACATCTATATAATGCCTGCCTAACGCCGGCTAGACACAGCCATCACACTGCGGATGTGGCATAGAAGGGGTGTAACATAGTCTATATACCTCAGCTAAAGGCTTTGACTCCAGAATGTAAGCTTTTTAGTCTCTTTTTCTCCTTACAGTGTAATCATACAGCCATTGTGGAAGGAGAGCTGCAAGGGAAATAATAAGAGTCCTCTCAAGCCAAGGGTCCTTGGAAAGGAACACCTGACACAGCTGATTCTGAGCTGAAGACCAACACAAAGCCTTCCTTCTGTGCTTGTGAACTATGGCAGCAATTTCAGAAAGAGTGAAGTACCCTTTGCAGAGAAAAGATACAGTGATTTTGAAGTACTTGATGGCGAGGGCTACATTTAAGCATTTCGGCCAGCAGTAGACTATCGCCATGAGTGACGACAGCACTCACACTGGTTTTAAAATATAAGCAGAAACCAACATCTGGAGAAGGAGCCTCCCCACTCCCATTCTCCTACCTTCCACCCACCACCCAGCCCCCACCCTCGGCTTGTGACTGTGACTCAACTAGAGGAAGGCCCGACATGTTCTTCCTGCTCAAATGAAATTGTCCCACACGCCCCGGCAGGATTCCCAGTTAGCCCAGGGGTCAAGGTCAACAGTAATAGAGGGATGAGGTCAGTTTCTGAGGAAGAAGTATTGGAATAGTATTTTGCAAACCACAGAGGGGGCACACGTCCTATTCCCATATAGCATCTCAAATGAGAGAGGGGCTGAAAAGAAGCAAACCACCGATGCTTAACATAAGGCCAAAGCAAAAAAATGTAACGACTGTCAAAGCAAACAGAACTATTGGCAGGAAAACAGGGAGCGGGATAAAACGTACCCAAGGATTTTTCATCTGTGTGTGCCAGGGCCAGACTTTCCATGTAGACAACCAAGGCTTCGAACACAAACTGTTCCACCAAGGACTCTTCTTCCCTGAAACATAAAGAATATTAAGCCTCACATAGGGGGTAAAAATTTAAGCAGAAATAAATGGTAGGAAGGCATTATTAAAAATTCATACATTAAATTTGTTTTTTAAAATGGCTTGAGGTCGCAGGGAGAAGA